GTTCACTGTATTTGCCTTTGGGAAGTTCGATAGCAAACTTCCGGTGTGAATCAAATTGAATAGCAAACACTATTAGAAAATTGTTCGAAAAATTTAATATTCGCACACCCCTACTTGTGGTGTTTATCAGCATACGGTGCCACGATAATTGTACTGTTTTGCCAGATGCTATCAATCAGGGCTGGTAGGTTATATGGATGGTAGGTTATGTGATAGGTAAGTTAGCAGAGAATTCATTACATTCTTTGAAAGCGTAGGTTCATCTCATGGCTATGGCAGCTGCACATTTATGGTGGGTAAATGCAAAAACACTTGTGCACTTCAATTTAGGGGCACAATGAAGAAGCCTAGGCACTTAAAATTTAAACTTGCATGTTCATGTGCCACATTTAATGGTCATATGATGGTTTTTAAAGGTGCAACTCTAGAATTTTCAGATCTGCACATTTTTAATGGGGAAACCTGGAGAGAATCGCATGTCATAAAGGAAAATACACGCGAGGTACGTGTATGAAACTATGCTTTGCATAGCAAGGGTCTTATTTGCATTATGTAGATATATTTGCTTTGGCCAGGTTTACTGCAGCACAAGTCTGTCACGCTTTGAAGCATGCTGATATAATTGCATGAAAGACAACCATGCAGGGAAACGTTCTATTCTAAGCCTATTTATATATCTTATAATAAACTGTTCTTGGATGATATTCGGATTTGATAGATCTGAGTTGGACTCTAGATGTACTTGTACACAGAATTCATCTTTCGTGCTTGCCATTTTAGTGTTTTTAAATTATTTAGTTGGGGTTAGCCACAAAAGTTTACAGAAGAAGGCATTTGTTTTTATGATGGCAATGGTGTTTTCTTTGGCTACACAGGTATGCACACAGGCAGATTTTTTTTCAAGACAGCAAAATTGTACAAAAACACTTTAATTAAGCTCCCATTGCTTTAATCGTACAGTTCTCACTGTTACAATCTATTCATCGAAAGTATCCACAGTCTTGTAGTTCTGTTGCGTTTTTATTTTCAATGCAAGGCCTAGGGCAGTCATCTAAGTGGGATGCAGGATCAATTAAGACTTTTTCTACATTATCAACATTGTGGTGCAGTGAACCTACAGAAAAATCATGTTATAGAGAACATTTGATGATAGGGTTCAGCTGAAAACAACTGATAATAATTAATAAAATGCAGGGTTTTACATCCCAAAACGACAACATGATTATGAGAAACGCCGTAGTGGAGGACTCCGGACGTTTAGATCATCTGGCAGCCTTTAACGAGCACTGACAAAACAAACCAGGACAGAGGCCAAGAAGGCACACTAACACCAGCATTTCCATGCCTTCCAGTCGACCATTCCCCTGTTTAGCTCTTTCCTCAATAGTTTTGCGCTGGATCACTCAACATTTTTTCCAAGCACAACATGCCCAAATGTCAGTTCTTTGGAAGTTATAGAGGTTGGCAAATGGTCAGGTTTTGTGATCACTGAGGTCTACCAAATAAGTTAGGTTAGTGGTGACAGCACAAAGTGGAACAGTTGCTAAAAAAGGGCTCATTTGTAAAGCAGATTTCTAATAGACCCGACCTTATCCACTGGCATGGCAAGAATCGGGCAAAAATGCTTTTACACTAGAATGTATATGCTTCCTTTAGTGCACATGCCCCTCTTTTAACACAGTAGTGGTTTTAGAAGCCTTTCTCGGTGAAATTCCGAAGGCAAGTTATTTTTGCTTTCTGTCTTATGACATTGCAATTTTTGATGGCCCGTGAATTGTGGGTGGGGTCCTCATTAAGCTGCTTTCCCTGTAGAGGCTTCTACATAACGACTGATGCTGAAACACTTACCTCATAGGCCAGGTTTAGTTGTACAAGGGTAGGCACGACAGCACAGTTCCATAAATGGCAACAGCAGTCTTTTTATTAAAAACCACAATTCTTGTGGGACGCAGGCCGAAATGACGAAGATGTTTGCCCGAGTCAGAGGAGTAAACAAGATTTACTGGGTACCGTTCCTTTATCGTGGCTGGCAGCCTTTCTCCCGACTTTCACCAGGTCATGATAATTTTGGCGATCACATCTTGTTCCTTCACTTCGTACAGTGGTTGCAGGGATATACAGAAGTTGTATTCTCTTGTTAACTCTGCAGTTCATGCAACAGTATATGAAAATACTCAATTAGGGCAAGTTAGGCCATTACACAAAGAAGAATGCACAATTCTTTACAGCAAAAGCTGTTATGAGATCCCTTTTAGGTTCACGCGCAGTTGCATGTTGTCCGCCACCGCCGCGGCCGTTGTCCCTAATCACATCTCACGAAATTAGGAAAAAAAAACCTTGCACCAATGACACAGTGGGGCTTGAACCAGGGTCCGCTGTGTACCATCCCACTATTCTACCACTGAGTTACGCCGGTGCTTGTAACTTGTCAAACTTGCCTTAGGCAGGCGTAACCTAGCACCAATGGCACAGTGGGGTTCGAACCCGGGTCCGCTGGGTGCCAGCCCAATATTCTACCACTGAGCTACACCTGTGCTTGTGAGTTGTTGTCAAACTTGCCTTAGGTAGGCTTGATGTCAGGAAAGCAATTGCGTTAATACGACTTATAAGGTGTTTTACAACAGCGAAAGAACAACCAGTCGTCGCACAATGCGAATAGCAGAACGAATGGACCGTCCAATGCTCCAACCCATTACAAAATATTGTTCTTGTTTCCCTATTAACTGTGGTGCATACCCACTTCAGTTTTAATTCATCATCGTCGTCAGCTACTGCATGGACAATTAGCACAAAATTTCTTGCAAGTGCTTAGCGGTAACCACGCTTCTCAGAAGAATGACGAAAAATAGCATAGCGAATGCCGGCTTGCTACCCAAAAGCTTATTATTAATGCCCTAGTTGGCACCAAGCAAGTGTGCTTTCAGTAGTTACCCTGTGAGTGTTTTGGAAAGGCTCTGAAAGGCCACTCTTCTAGCTTTCGCTGTGATTGTGCTGCGCCTACCGCGCAGGCCTGACTTTTTTTTTTCTTACATGCTTTCGGTGCTACTGGCCTTCATTAGACTGCTCTAATTGGGACCAGCAAAAAACAACCTTTTTGTTTTACACGGTTACAGGGATGTTATTCCTCACCCTCGTCCTGCTCCTTCTATTCACTTGTATTGTCACCCAACTCTCCTTTGTCACAGATGAAGTTGTCCTCTGTTCCATTGAACTTTTTCAAGATTCCAGCAACCTTGAGGCTTTTTTACCCTATCTTGAAGAAAAATCCACCCCGGGCTCCGAAAATACAGTTTGTACGTTCAGAAGGGATGGCCTCTTCAGCCGCCCAGTTGGTGCTGTCCGGTAGACGGTGGTGCTGGGAGGCAGCCCCTAATCTTGGAGGCTGTACTTTTGACTCAGGGGGGTGCTGTAAACTCGGCACAGCTTCCCTATTATTCTCCCAAACGAAGAAGAAAAAGAAAAAGCTTTGGCATACTTTCACCACCCAATGGATAAGGCTGCTAACCTGAAAAATTATGAGTAGATTTCTTAAAAGTGCCATGGTGCGGCATTACATGAGTGGGGGCCATTACAGGTGTATGTACTATTGCCTTCACTCTTGGCATTGTTTGCCATCATGCCCAGATGCATAGGTCGGCAAACTCACTCGTGAGTCAACTCACTCGGACTCACTCAGATTCAAGACCTGCCATGGCGGTCTAGTGGCTAAGGCATTTGGCTGCTGACCAGCAGGTCGTGGGATCAAATCCCGGCCGCGGTGGCCACATTTTCGATGGAGGCGAAAATGCTTGAGGCTCGTGTCTTAGGTGTCCATCAAAGAACCCCAGGTGGTCCAAATTTTCGGAGCCCTCCACTGCGGCCTCTATCATAATCATAGGGTGGTTTTGGGACGTTCTACCCCAATAATTATTCTTTCTAAGATTCATATCATGCCCTTGGAGAGTCTGAGTGAGTCCGGGTGAGTGATATTTTTGCGAGCTTGAATTTGAGTGAGTCAGGTAGAAGAAACTTTTCGTAAGGGCAAGTCTGAATGAGTGCCGCTCTGGAAAGTTTTCGGGAGTCTGAGTCTGAGGTTGCACAAAAAGCACAATCACTCATTTTTTTGCCGACCCATGCCCAGATTTAACGATAGTTGTTAGGGCTACGGCCCGTATTCACAAACCAATCTGGGGCTTACCTCGAGTTTTTCTCAAGTTTCTGTAACGTCTGCAAGCGTTTTAAAGGCACGAAATGGTTACGAGGTAAAAGATTAGAACAAGATTGGTTCATGAATATCGCCCTACTTCGTACATCAAGCGCAATAAAGGCTTACAATCGTTAAGAAAAACTGGAGGTAAGGCTGAGCATGGTTCGTGAAAATGGGCCTATGTCCAGCATTTTAATAAGTGAATTTTTCCTACCAGACACTCTATTTGAGTGTGGTGGAACAGTAGACCAATGCACAATGCAAAAGTAATTAGTCTGCTGTGCCACCATTTGGGTTACGCACCTGGACTCTCTTCACCCATTCCTTTCTATTTGTTTATTTTTTTTTCTTTCGGAAGTATTATTTTGATACTAGCATTACGGCTTTGAAGGAGCTCTGTTTTAAACAGAGAATCGAAGTGATCTTGGCGACCGTTGCACTAGTGTCCCTCCCAGGTGACCCTGGCTCTTGCAGTAGAGACGCATGCAGAATGGTGAGAGCACCTTGACACCCCAGATTGGCAGACCTGTATTGCTGGAACTCGGAGACGTGGGCTGGCCTTTGACACTGGCAGAATAACGGGAGGTTAACACACATCATGAATCAAGATGCTGGAACCAACCTTAGTGATTGTTTGTTATGTGAGGATGTGATGACAGATGAAGCTTTCACTTATAACGTAAATTTGAGCTTTGAATTTTCTCGCCAATGTATGAATGAATGAAGTGACTGCTTTTTCAGCATGGGTGTTCACTTTTGGCATGTATTTTGTAATGCTGTTGTGTGATTTTTTTTTTTTTGCTTTGTCCAACAGCGTTTATGGCCGCAACACGCACAGCAGCCTGTCTCCGCCCCCCAAGAAGACGGACAAGAACAAGAAAGTGAGCAAAAAAAGAGACCACAACTGAGCGCGCGCCAGATGGGTAGCTCAAATAGTTGAGACGCCGCGCTCTAATGGTGGGCTTTTTGCTGCTTCACTGTCCTTTATTACCTACATGACAAAGCAGATACTGTGAAGTAGGTCTCCATCATGCTGTCAAGGTGTTATGCACGTAGGGCAAACTCACCCTGTGAATACGGAGAGCAATCATAAAGGGTCCTACCTGTGCAGTAATTCCAAAGTGCTATTTCAAGAAGGTTAGTATAATGTGAGTAGGCTGGTTCACAGTGGAGGCTATCAAGGCCAGGGCCCCGGGGGAGGTGTGTGTTTGACTGAGGGCATAAAACTACTTTTGTGGAGGTGTGTGTTTGACTGAGGGCATAAAATAAAAATAGGTGTTTTTCAAGGCATTGAACAAATTGCCCCACCCCCCCAAAAAAAAGCTATATTCTCAACTGATAAGTTATTGAAAAATCACTTATAATCGCCCATTGTGTTGGCTAACTTGCAATCACATTATTCTGCTGGCCCTATCACCAAATGTGACTGCTGAAACAATTACAGAATGTGACAGTTTATTGTGGTGGCTTTAGAGCATGAGGATATGGATTCGACTCAAGTTACAGTGGCACCATTTTGATACATACTCGCGAAATGCCAAAGCACTCATTGGTGAATTTCATGTGGCCAAAATTAATACGTAGTCTTCCATGATGTTATAATGTGTAATAATTTCATTGTTTTTGGCAGGAATTAAATTAAAAGAGAGATCGACTGAGCATAAAACCCCACTTTTTTATTTGATTTCATTTTTTATTGATTTCATTGACGTGGAATGTCTTTTCAAGGTTTGTGAATAGCATTGAAAATGAAGCATCCAGTTATGTTTGTTCATTTGAGTAATGGTTGGTTGACTCGTATGAAATTTGGTGAGTTTGTCAAATGATGACAGAGTTTGGACAATTACAGCGTAGCTTTGTCAGTTTATCCTTTCTGGGATTTTAATGGCGGCTCTCTTTTCGACAACAGATAGTTGAGAGAGAGGCGAAAGAAGCCTCTTGAGAGTACGGTATGACATGAGCTCTGCTCTGACCTGGATGTGGACACTACGTTGACTGCCATTTCTTTTTGGTGAGACTTGATTACCTGTAATGGCTGGCCTAATTGTTTAACTAGTGGCTGTGCCATTACCATTGAAGCGAGCAGCTTCGGTTCCTATTGTTAACGCTTGCTTATCGTTCTCCACGCAAGCTTTGCGACTATTAACATTGCACAAGGCATTGCACGCTCAGCCTGTGTGCATGTCTTCAGCGCGTCATTGGTTGTTATATCTGCCTTCCGTTCCTACTACGATCCGTCACTAATTTTTGTCAAAGCCTGCCAGTACTTCCAGTTCCTGCCATACCTCTCTGGACCCTTGGGATCGTTTGCTTCTTGACGTGGGCCTGGCGACGTGTTTTATAGAAGGTGAATAGGGATGTACCATCCTCACAGTCATTTATTCTCAGTGAGGAGCTGATTTCAGCCATGTGCTACGAGAGATTGCTGTCGTCGCACTATAAAATTGCGATCTCGCTAGATAATCTGCATGACCATGATGGTGTTTACACCCTTTTTGAAAATAAACGTGTGATTTTTGCTGATATTGAATACATGCCCTATAAAGTTCTGTCGCATATACCTAGTTCTCAGGCTCTAGCTATTGCTCGCTGAGACAGACCTGTTTCTGCATTGGAGACTGTCATTTAATGTTGGTTAACAGGGTTGAAACAAGCAGTGCCGAATGTGCATCACGTGCATGCCACTCTTCATGGAAAGTGCAGACGATGACTTGTCAACAAGTCTCCATCGATCTTGTTTGCTGCACCTTCGTTTTGTGGCAAGCTATTACATTTGTTCAGCTGTTGAAATGCACTTTAGCATTTGTCTCATACACACACTATGTAAAAGTTCTTGCCGATTGAAGGAGTACTGACACATAATTTTTTAGGCATAACTTGTGAGATAAATTTGTGTGTGCACACATACACACGTAAAATCAATATGAATGGCTAATATAGACCAGAACATATCTAAAATCGGTTTTTGAGTGTGTGTCATTGAACTTAATGGAAATGCACCACCTTGCGGTATTGAGACCAACTTTGTTTGATTATAAACAACCGTCAACACCAGCAGAAAGGAGATTATAGCAGCCCCAGGAAGCCTTCCTTGAAAAGAGTTTTCAAGTATATCTGCGCATGGTTTTGTGTGTTCTCGTAGTCAGCTATGTTTACAGTAAACCTACTCTGGGTCCTGCCTCTCTTGGCGCTCTCTAAAGCTGAAATTGACTGCGTGCTATAAAACTGTGCGAATAAGTTTTGGTTGCACACACGAGCTATCGAGGTTCCCAGCCATAAGTGGATCATTAGCTAATTGCAGCAGAAGAAGAAAACAAGGTGTAAAATTTTTGTGTCAGCCCTTCCTTTAATCGTTGATGATACAATAAAGGAACACAAGTGCTAGTGCTAGGTGGTTTTAATGAAGCGTCGTATTTACAGCATTCAGGCCTTACGAAGTGTCATAAACACACTGTGAATGAAGTTGTTGCTCTGTTTGCAAGTCGATGCTTTTTATAGCACAGAATGCATAGGATTACCAGACTTGGCGCATTCAACCAACGCACATTTTTCAGCCAAGATTGTCGAATATGTTACTATATGTTTAGATATTGTTGCTGTTTGAAAACCTTTCACGGCTCCTTGTGCTGTTTTCAAGTGCTGTCAATATGAATGTGCCTTAGCAATGTTTATTTATGCTGGTATTACTCCTCTGATGAGAGGTGGCGTTTAATGCAGGCTTTTTATTGTGCCTGTAAAAATACTACTGTATTGTTGCCTTGCGTGAAATTTTCATTACAGTGTTTTGGTGCTGTGCCTTCTACTTTTTCCTGCAGTGCTTTAATGCCACTTGCAGTACTTGCTTTACAAATGTGCTTGCTTTGTTATAATATCCATTTCACTTCAGCAAATGAAAAAATAATATCATGCAATGTTTTTAAGGTTGTATACGATACATGTAAGTGTTGTGCGAAGAGTAATAACAAAGATTATAATGCAACCGTCGGTAGTCATACTCGTCTCATATTTTTATCGCGGTGAATAGACATGTTTTGGAATGGACTTGGCACCAAGCGATGGTGTCGGTGAAGGTGAGATATTTGAAACTCTCATGAAACAAGGAATCTCCCACACTTATTCCTGCATTATTTGTCAACAGTTGAATTGCATATTTACCATACAATTTTTATGATTATTTTGTAGCAGTGAGCCTAATGACTCACAAAATGTACTTGGTTGTCAGTCCTTGCTCATTTGACACCTTATCCTTGTGCAAAAAGTATGTCAACTGTCTTTTGTATTTCTTCCGCATACACAATTTTATTGCATGATTTCTGTCACCTAATGCGGTAGACTACTGACTGTAGGCTTTTTTTCAGTTGCATGCATCGTAGCACTGCTTGCACATGCCATTGCGAGTTGAAAATGCACAAACGTCAACCAACGCTGACGTCTTGGCAAATCCAGCTTCACGGCTGAGCTTGCCACGCTTTCAAGGTGCTGCTGAAGTGTGCCGCATATGTCAAGCAGCACATCTCATATTTGTCTACATAACCAAGAGTCTGCTTTTCCCACCATTGAGTTTGGCGATTTTGTATCTCTTTCTGTTCCAGATAAGAAGCAAAAAAATGCATTGCAGTGATATGCATTATTGCATTTCATGCTCACAATGCATTAATAAATGCCAGCAGCTGCTATTGACCTCGCCGGCATTATCAGATGGGCTCCTCGTCTACTTTGATCTTTGTCGGGCTGCCTTTGCATTTGTCTTCTGGCGTATTTATTCACTCTGTGACAGCTGAATCGCTTATTCAAAACGGCAAACCGTAGGGGAAACAAGACATTGTAACAAGGACGGGAGGATGTTGGCAAAGTAAATGAGCGAGCAAGAATGAGAATAGGGGTTATAGCTTTGAAGTGTTTGTGTGGGAAACCAAGTGCATTTCAAGGGTAGGCATGTCAATGCAGACCTGTCTACCGCATTTCTTTGGCTGTATTCAGATAGTTCTATACTTGATATGCAATCATTACGACTGCTGATATGTAGCAGGGAACGTTTTATTAACGTGTTTGAAGTTCGGACGTGCCAAAAGGTCACTGCTGAGTGTAGTAATGCGAGATTTTTTACATTTGAAGACGGCAAAACTAGTAGTAGTGCTTGTTTGGCTATAATCAGTTTCATACGTACCAGGCAATGCTACAAGCTGCTGTGGCAGTACTGCAGACATAAATGCTATGCTGTGCAGTTGTTTTTAATCTTTAATGCTTAGCACTTTTTATAAGTGTCACAAGTGCAAAATTTCCTCCTTTGCTGCTGCAGCTCATGAATGCAGGCCTACGTCAAGTGACATTATGTTTATAAAGTACTACGCTTGGGTGATAACATCAATTATGTTTTTTGTAGTCAGTGTGAGAATATCGCCAGTAGTCTGGACACATCAACTCGCATGTGTGCTGGTAAATCGGGTTCATATTTCCAGTGCTTTCCAGTGAATGAATGTGTCACAAAACTATGACGCTTAAATTACATTGAATTAGAGGAAGCGTACCAAGGTGTTTCTTTCATATGTGGTATTCTGTTTTTCAGTCATGAATAATAGCAATTATGGCAGTCTCTAGCCTTCGTAGCATTGCCTGATATCTATGAAATAGAGGTTCCTTATAGTATATGGGTAATAGCTGATGTACTGCTATATTCTTAAGCTTATGTTCACATAATGTTAATCCACCTTCAACATTAGTGTGCTGTTGATGCTTTTGCACCTGCTTTGTGCCTATATACATTTAGTTTATGAGTATATTCTTTCATTTTTGTGTACTTATTCATCACTTTGTTTACTTGAGAGTTTCTTACAAACACCCTGTGGTTCATCTTGCACTAAAGAAAAAATCTGGTGTCCATCATATCTTCCTTGTTTTCACTCCTTATGTTTTATTGTTGTTACATTATTTTATAAGAAACTTCTGCCCTTACTCTGCATTTATGGTCAGTTTCACATCAGTGTCTAGAAACAAAGGCAGTATCAGGCAGTTGTCTTGTTTAGTTTTGTGTTGAACACAAAGATGCTTTGTTAGTGCAATATGTCCAATTATTTCACGCATTACTGTCAATGTTGCTGTACACGCATAGATGATTGTTAAGTAAGCGTCTACAAGTTTTAAAATTACTCGTTAGCCGTTTTAACCTTACAAGATGTTTGAGTCTGCTTAGAGTTCAGAACCTAATGATTTCCGCTAGTCGCACAAGTTGAATAAAAGTTTTAATCTATTTACGGCTGTGTGACTCTGCTGCTTCTCCTACACTTTTCTTTGAAATGCGAGCCACTTAGCATGCTTGAAATTGACACTTTGCAATATAGTGAGTGCCTTATATAGTGAGTGCCTCTAGGTACACTTTTCTGAAAACACCTGTAAGATGGCTTCCTTGAAATAACGTTTTGTCCTCAAAACTTCGTGTTCGCCCAGTGCCTTTCTTGCTCTTAGCATGTTCACCTGTCTACATTCCAGAGAAGGTCCTGGAGCAGCTTGTTTCTGTGGAAAACATAGCTGCTTGTGCATGTGCAGTAACTATATTGAAAGCTGTCAAATGTGTATCTATGTGTCTAAACAATGCCAAAAGTCTCATTAACATCCCAAAACTAACCACAAGCCTGACAAAGACATCTGTTGGATTATCAGAAGAGCTATCAGAAAGGTAGACAGAAAACTCCATGCAGAAAACTTTATTTGCCAAATTTGGGAATGCGGCTTCCAGGGAAGACGTATGGGTGCATTGGTGGGCCGCGCTGCTCAGGTCGGGATTGAACCGAACTCTGGGCGATTTAGCAGGCAAACGAGCTGCTGAGATGCGCGTTCTCGCGGTTGGCTTCTAGTCAATAACCCAGCCCCCAGACGCCCAGCCCGGAAACGGGCCGAAAATAACATGTTTCGCTCACTTGTTTTTTGGAGTTGTCCAAGCGATGCTTAAGCATAGAATGTTTTACAGGGGAGCTTATAACTGGCGCACCTGGATGATTTAGCGATGTCTGTCACATATCTCGAAAACTGTGGACATCCTAGTGACGCCATTTGATGACGTAATCGACATCATCGATCGGTCGAAGATTGGTCCTGTCAAGGTTGCTAATCCAGTGTACCTAGAGCGGTCGTGATAAGCATGGCTCGACTGCGCAAAAAATGCCCGAGGAGCGGCACGCTTGCGAATTAAGAACGCCGGCGGGAGCAGAGATCGGAGCTCACCCGTCAGCTTGCTGGTCAGTGCTGGAATGGTCAGGATTGAATGGCTGCAACTTTTTTGGAGCAGAGCTCCTTAGGCTCTCATAATGTCTGTTGACTCCGTTCTTGTAGCTTCCCATCGGGCCGAAAAACGGCTAGGTGTTGCATATGCCGTGTATAGAGCGTTCATAGCGTGCATATAGGTTTAAGATAGACCGTACTCTGTTCGTGCATCTGCCTGTCCGTCCATATGTCTGTCCTTCATGCTAATCTGTGACTTCAACGTAGACATTATAGACATTAGGACCTAGCGTCGCTCTATCATCAGCATTCGCTTTATAGATGTGTAGTCATTCTTGTACCTTGCAGCCGTTCCAGCAATGTTCTTGTAGGCCAGCGTCGGCATGGCTTCTTTTTCCAGCTTTTATGAGCGTCGAGTGGCCCCATGGCATGCGTTCAGTCATTGTATACAAAGTTTGTCTTGCATCATTTTTTTTGCATTGTGGGAATCACCCTGGTATCTAAAATCATCGATGTAGGTTTTATACCATGCCTTCCAGTGGTCTAAAATTTTATTCTGCAGCTACGTAATTCAACATGGCCTTTCATAGAAAATGTTCTATATCTGCCTTTAGTTTTCTCTGTTTCTAGCCTAGCCTAAAGCGCTTCATCGCGTCGACTGCTGCCTTTTTAAGTAGCACCGACCATTGTTCCACCACCGCCGCCTAGTTCCGGTTCCGGAGCTTACGAAAGGAAGCTATTGAGCCACTTCCTTCCGCTTTCTACCTTTCATCTTGTTTCTAATCACTTGAGAAAGTACATGTCTTCTTCGTTCCACAAGTGTTGTATCGGGTTTCATCCTAAGCTCGCAAGGAATGCCACCTCCCTGCTGCGCACGTGGCTGCCCGACGACGTCGAAGGCCAAGCGGTGGCACTGCATGAATGAGGCGCGGTGAGTGCGTCAAGTGGTGTGAGTTTTCGTTCCTACACCCTATCCGTGGTAGGCCTAGCCGTCAGGACTGAAATGCCATGAGGTGGGTCATGGATCGGAAAAGCAGCAGAAACATCATGGTGGCACCTCTGCTTCGTAGTGGTTCTTAAAGGAAGAAGAAAAGAAATAGGTGTGGTGCCGTTACTGTCTCTCTATGGAGGACACCTCCACAGCACCGCGCAGGGGGTGGGGGGAATGGGAATGAAAGGGGCAAAGAGAGTAAGTATGCTGGTAGGAGGATAGGTGTAAAGGGAGAAGGGAAGAACGAGTTGGCGCTACTTAACCTAGCCGGCAGAAAGCGCATGGAGGGGCTTTTGTAGCCCAGCCCAGTGGTAAGACGCCTGCCTTCAAAGCGCGGCGGCTTGTATTCGAGGCCCAGAACTGGAGTAAAAGTGTTTTTTTTTGGTTTTATTAATTCGGTTCTTCATGTCGACGGTCGTCTTACGTGACACAGGGACACACGGACAAATGGTATTCTTGAGTCGTCGTAGAAATGCTTATTATACGCTTTTAACGTGCACCACTGCATTCCACTCGCTAAGCAAATCGGCGTTGTGCGGAGCTGTCGGCGAGAAGTTGCCGCATTGTTTAAGCCAAGTTTTGCGAGGTGAATCGACGTATTTATGCAGACAGAGTGCACTGGCCTGTATACCGTGTGCATGGACACATTGGTGCGGGTATTAAAAGCGCTATAGACTGAAAGTGCTATAATTATATTAAATATGTAGTGTTTTTTGTGAGTGGGCAGCCAGTACGGCACGGCTGCAATGAACATAAGGCTATGCCAGCTGACTTATTTAAAGCGACATCTGCATTGTGAGGTTCACACGATGTGCCAAAGTCTGTGCAAGAACCATTCGAGAGCTTATTACATGTTTAGAACAAAACGCAGCTGCTAATTAGCGCTGCCCAGGTATGTGACTCGGGGAGGGGGGTGAGGCTCCCCACAGATGAGTTGAGGGGAAGTGTGTGAGCCACCCAAAACCCTGCCCCCCCCCCCACCTGCAGGGTGAATAAACGACCGCTATTGAATCATCAGTTACCCATCGTCATTTATGTCGCGACCTGTCATTGATGTTCCGTCCCTCGGTCAGCAGCTGCGAACTTTTACCAAAGGGCGAGGCCGCACGCGCTACTTAGACGAAGGTTTGTAGACTGCTCAAACCCTGTACGTGCTGTGCTTGCTTCATGTTGAAGCGATAGCATAATAACTGCTTCGCTTCCTGGGGTGGCTTATTCATTTACACCAGCGTTTTGTAGAGTTAAGCTTCATCGCATCTTGGAGCTAGCTACTGATGTTACGTCGTATGATATTACAGTTTGTAACTCGCCACGGTAGGTGGCCAAGGGCACTCGGCTGCTTACCCGCAGGTCGCGGGATCGAATCTCGGCTGCGGCGGCCGCATTTTCGATGGAGGCGAAAATGGTGTAGGCTCATTCGCCAAGATTTGGGTGCACGTTAAAGAACCTCAGGTGGTCAAAATTTCTGAACTCGTCCACTGCGGCGTCTCTCATAATCATTTGTTGGTTTTGGGACGCTGAACGCCAACAATTACTTATAATATTCCAACTTGCAGATATTGCCTTCATTGATTTGCCGTTCGCGGCGAAACTGCGACATTTACAGTAGAGTTATGGTCGGGGTTTTTCGTGTATCGTAGATGAAAATTTTAGTCTTGAACCGTCTAGTCCCACGTGGTGTTCTCCCTTGTGTCTTTTCTGGACTCCGATAAAGTTAATTAATTATTATCATCATTAACCGGCCCCTGTGCAAGCACCGCCCAATTAAGTATTCGGCCCAGATGGTTAACAAAATATGCTCGAGCTGCGGCCCCTAACCGTTCTTCGTCGGCCGCGTACGCGTTTCCTTCTTTTTTTAAATACGGATGCTTTTATTAGTCGGGCTATGTCAGGCATCCGGTGTTGTCCGCGCGCCCACAGGTGTGTCTCTCCGCTCTCACTCCCTCTCCCACAGCAACAGCTGCGGGCGCGCACGCTTATCCTCGCCCCTAGCAACTGGAGCGTTTGGTGGTGCTGGTAGTGGTTAGATGATGAGAAAAGGCATCTAATTTCTGCAACCCGGTCGGGAGCCCGGCGCAGTGCCTCGTTTGGTACAAGAGAACATAGGAGAGCGTAGGTGTAGTGCTTCGCTGCTCCTTCTCTCGCCGTTTGCTCCCTCTCCTCTCTACGTTCCAGCGACTCGCATAAAAACTTTATTAGTGAGTGCGTTTGGACCCGAAGGTCTCTGAACCACCGCTCAGTCCCACACCACGTCTACATGGCCACGCCTCTCGCCGCGATGACATGATCGGCTACCCGAGTCACCGCAGCAAGCTGCAACAACGCCGTGTCCCCAGACTAGAGCAAGACCTCCCAGTCCTTCCAGTTTGAGATGGCAGGCGAGGTAGGATCAGCAGGGACAGCCGAACAGGATGTTGGAAAGGGTGGCGTGAGGTTCGCCGCAAAGAGAACATCCAGGTGAAGTGCCACAGTAGTAGGACAGCAGCTGAGGGAAGAAATAGTGGGAGTCTGAAGACTTCTCCATAGAAAATGTGCGTAAGAGAGGAATTCGGTGGAGGGTAAATCCGATGGTTCAAACGGGCTATTTGCGTGAGCTCTGCAAAAGTGTGCGGCCGCTTCTTCGAGGAGCCCGAATCGAGACTGTCCTGAGCCCGACAAATCAAACCTCGGGCTAATTTATTGGCAGCCTTGTCTCAGAAGTTCCCTGAATAAGCTGGTACCCACTGGAGCTCTACTATTTGCGGTAAATTTTGTGTGAAGGTGTTCAACAACTGCCGGGCAGAGGAGTGTATCCTGCCCCTGGCATAGTTGTACAGAGCAGTTTTTGAAGTAGTGAAGACGTATTGTGCATCTGATTGCGCAAGGGCTAAGGCGATGGCGGTCTCCTCTGCCTCTTCAGCTGTAGATAGAGCCTGAGTGGAAGCAATCAAGAATCGGGTAGAGTAGTGTTGTAGGCAACTGTTACAGCTTTCTTTGCTGCACAAGCAGCGTATACCCAAATGGCATCCTCAGCTTTCCGTAACTCTTTGTGAAGGGATTTGTG